TTCCCCTATGTATGCAGTGAATACCATTGGTGAATAAAGAAACTGCCTTGGCCTGTTCATAGGGCAAAACTTAGGTGGGGAAAACTAAACTGAATGCTGGGAGAAAGAAGGGCGGAATCAGAGAGAAACCATCGAGCTACCTCCGGAGATAGATGTGCCGAAACTTTGCTGGTAGGCCACGATTAATGGAAATGGGTTAAATTAAGATGTAAGAGTTGGCAAATAAGAAGGCAGAGATAATGGGCCAAGCAGTGACTTAAATAATATGGTTTCCGTGTGATTATTTAGAGGTTGAGCAGCTAGGAACTTACAGGGGCCTCCTCACAATGTGGTGCTGGGAACTGAACCCAGGTCCTCTGGAAGAGCAGTTAAGCCATCTCTCCAGCCCCAGTTCCCCTAAGATGACCTCTTTATTCCAGGTGACTTTCCCGCCAGTCACAGGGGACACCCCCTGCTCCTCCAGCCCTACTTCAGGACGTTTGCAAGTGCACTGCCTGCACTCCTCCCTGGCTACCCCCAGAAGTGAGCAGCAAGCGCCTCTCCCCCCGTCTCTGTCCCTCCCTTCTTCCTGGCACTTACCTCCTCTTGACAAGGTTCTGGGTCATCCTCTCAGGAAAGCACAGTGCTCTTCCAGGAGATGGCACATTCTTCCGGGGACTTTGAACACGCTGTCACACTGTGCTTGCTCAGGGATGATATCTGTTGCTCTTCGCTCCTGAAGGCTAATGTGAAGTACTCTCCACAGAACTGGAAGCTGCCCCTGGGTGACTCTGGGTCTCATCACCTGACGTCAGTGGTCAAGAGGGCCCACCGCTTCACTGAGTCAGCCCTCGGCCTCACACAGGTGTGATCAGCTGGCTAGTAAGAGATGGGAAAAGGCAGCCTTCCCTGAACAGCTATGCAAAGTCTGGCTGCAGGAGAGGCTCAGCCAAGCTGGTGTGTGTATGTGTGTGTGTGTGTGTGGGTGTCCTTGTAAGTTCTGCTAGAGAGGCAGAAGGCAGAGGCCTGCAGATCATGCTGGAAGCGCAAGGGAGGAAAAAATTAACCCTAAACAAGAAATCACTGTCTAGAAGTGAGCCATTTGGGTTGGCCACCAAGAGGGATCCATGGGCACACGTGTACATGTATGTGGTGCTGGAGATGCAATCCAGGGCTTTGCCACGCCCATTCTAACACTGAAGTGCATCCGAAGCCCTCCAAGGTGGGGTTCTAAGATACTTTATGACTTTTGTGTACTGTCTCCTCATTCTAGAAGGTTCTTTTCTGTCCTTCCCCCTCCAGCTATATGTTTCAGTTTCTATATAAGGAACTCCCCCAAACTTAGTGTTTGTGGCTTAGTGTTGCATACTCCTTTGACTCAGCACAGGGCCTGACCCTAAGTACAACTCCTGTGTCCTGTGTAGTAGGAGGCTGAGGCAGGAAGATCTTAAATTCCAGGACATAGCCTGGGATACAGAGAAAAGTTGTTTCAGAAACCTAAGAAAGTAAACAGTCAGTGTCTCCTCTCTCACTACGCACAGATGTGTGCAAAAATTGCAAACATCACCCCATTGCTTCTCTGTCAGAGTATGATTAGCAGAGGCAGGGGGATCTCTGTGAGTCTGAGCCAGCCTGGTCTACAAGAGCTAGTTCCAGGACAGGCACAGAGAAATCTTGTCTTGAAAAAACAAAAACAAAAAGAAAAAAGTTGTACAGAGTGTGACCATCTGTGTTGCAATTGACATGTATTCATTTATTTATTTACTCACATTTCCTCCGAGACAGGGTTTCCACTCGGAAATAGATGGGCTCCAAACTCCAGACCTGTCTCAGTCTCTCGAGTGCTGAGATTATAGGCTTAAGCTACAATACCCAGATTCTAGCAGGACTATTTGTATCTATGATTTTGAATACCTCTATTCTTAAAACCCCTCTAAAAATGCCCCCATTGCCAGTCAGGGGCCAGCAGGTGACACCCAGGGTCTTGCTGGAGCTGGGGGTGGTGGTAGGGGCTCCCCATCTCTGCTCTCAGCCCCTCTTCCCAGAGCACCCAGGGATAGAATAACAGGCTGATAAGCAAAACCTGACTCTTATCAGCAGCCCCAGGAGGTACTGGAAGGGCAGATGCCACCACCACCACTGCCTGAGGTGACACCCAGACAGGGAGCTCTGGGCAGCTGTATCTAGACATCCAGCCTGTTGCCTGGGGTCCTCGTTCAGTGTTTACACGTCTGAGGAAAAACACCAGTGTGACTCAGCAGGCAGAGAGGGCCATGGGTGGGGGTGAGGTAGAAGAGATGGGGCAGTGACCTGGTTCTGCAGTCTTATGTGGCCAGATTCAAGGTGCTTGGGTTAAATCCAGCCCAGCCACTCCGGTACTCTGGCGGCATCTAAACACAACTGGATTTCTCGGCCTGAGCTGCCTATTTGGCACAGGGAGGGTCAACCCGCCACGGGGTGCCAGGGTCTCAGGGAGATGTCAGATGCGGAACCCACGAGTTCCCAGGCTCCAACGACAGCCTGAGTACTGGAGCTGGTGGTGTGGCTGTCATAGCTGGAAATGGGGGTCCTTTCCCTGGGGAGCAGAGGCTTAAGCTCAAAGGGTTAGGTCACAGGAACTGGGGTGTTATTCTTCCTCTGTTGACTCTCAGTCTTTCCTGGGGCTCCTGAGCTGAGTGCCTTCCTCACATCTGCCCCCGCTGTCTGCCAATTCTCCCCTTTCTGTTTAGGAACTTGGCAATGAGCCAGTTTATAGGAGATTTAATTGTGGTTGGGTCAGTTCTCCAAGAGCCAAGATAGCTGCTGGAACTCTAGCCATCATGTCCAAGGTCTGGAGTGGTAGAGCCCGAGATAGCCTGAGCAGCGGCCCTTCCACTGCATCCCGGCTGCAGTAGGTCCTTGGGAGAGGCATGGCAGGGGACTGGCCGAGATGCTCTACCTGGCACTTGTGGGCGCCAGCTGGCCAGTGGGAAGGCAGGAGCTGAAGCCTGAATGAAATCACTTGCTCTGTCCCCAAGCCAGTTCCCCTCAAGAGGGGTGTCTGTCACACTGCCTGGGAGGGGTCTCGATGAGAAGCTGAGGCAGCTGGAAGAGCCAACGGCAGCTACTCTCCCAACCCTGCCCTCAGGATCACGGGGATCTATCCCTGAGGACCAGTCTCTAGTGTAAAGGGAAGGGGTTGGTCACCAAGACCGTTTGGTTCCCAGCTCTCCTTGCCTACCCACTGGCAGAGACCTCTTCCTCCCCCAGACACTCAGGGTTATCTGTTCCTAGCATGTTTCCCCCAGAGAAGTCCCTCGTCCTCCTGGAGTTCCAGAAGGCTCATGTGGCTCTTGTGACCCAGACAGGGCCTACACGCATGCCAGTGACTCACACACCTCAAGGCTCAAAAGCCTCACAGCAGTGGGTGCCCAGGGATGGGGGTCCCACTGAACAGGATATCCTCAGGGTAAGGGAGAGGTGGAGACTATGCCGTCGGTCATGTGGCAACTGGACCTTAGTTAAGCTTTGGGCTCTGGGCAAATATGGTAGATGAGGCTCAACTGAATGGCCCATACAGGACAGCACTAGGCTCAGCGTGACTCTTGTCTGGGCTGCTGCCCCTGCACAGAGAAGGTCCAGCCCAGGGCCTGAGGTCCCCTCCTTTTCGTCTAGCCACCCAGACCCCCCCCACACACACACACACAGCTTCTCCCCCAAGTGATTCCAGCTCAAAACTGTAGCTGCATCTCTGTTTCAGAGGCCGTGGTCCTCACCTAACACAGATGACACACACGGACCCCCTTCATGCTACCCAGTATGCCTGGTTCTGGGGTGTACGCGTGCACATGTACATGTACATGTGTGCGTTGCTTAGCAGACATCTGCAAGTGTGCAGTTGAGCCAAGTCAGGTGTGCTTGTGTAATTGTGAAAGTGTATCCTGCGTGTGGAGTTTGTGTGTATCCCTGTGACTGGCCTGCTGAACCTTTATATGTAGAAGGCGAGCACACTAACGTGTATGCAGTCTGTAAGCATTTGTTTACACGGGAGTGTGCCTGGCCATCGGGCTGGATGGAACCTGTGCCCCTCTCTGGGTCACACTGTGCACCAGGTCTGTGCTGACAGCTAGGAACAGATTTCTGGGGCAGAAATCCTGTCCTTGGGAGGTAAAGCAGTGAAAATCCCTGTCCTGGGACAGTGTGGGCTCTCCTAACCAGACCCTTCACCATGCTGCACAAGGGACAATGAACAGCTTGCCACCTGTACCTGGGGACATCCCATGGGAAACTGTCCTGTAGCAAGAGCAGTGGTTACCATTGTAATTACTGATGGCAGTGTGGCTCTGCTGACTGCATTCGGCCCGCCGTGTCCTTGGCACAAAACAGCACCTATTGCTCTCCTAGGTTTGCCCTGTTTAGAGCCCTCAATCCTAAGACCCAGGAGGGCATTATCCAGACCAAGGGGCCTTCCTGAGGGCCTGCCCCTGTGGCTGCCACCAGCTGATAGAGACAGGAAGTATGCTGGCTTCACGTGGCCTTCCTGATAACCCTGGCAGTGCCCGCCACCCCTCCCTGGCCCCACACTCTTATCAGCAGCAACAGATGTCAGTTGTGGGTTAGGAGCCCCCATGTTGACCTTCTGACCCTTTAGTGTTTGCAAACTGACACTTGGAGGTAGAGGCCTGGGATGAAAGCAAACCCAGCCCTGACAGCGCAGCTGGGCCTGGTCACAGATGCTCCAGGCGCCTCTCACAGACAAACTAAGTGGAAACCAGAATGGGGCTTTGGGGAACCTAAGGTACAGTGCAAGAAATCAACCCAGGTCCACTTCTAAAGGCTTGAGCATGGGGGCTAACAGTGAACCCCACCCAGGCCTGGCTGCACCTACCTTGCGGGTTAGAGTCCTCTGGTTCAGACTGCTGTCTCTGAAGCTAAAAGATCAATCAGCAGAGACTGAAGCAGGGTAAGGGTTTGATAAACAGCAGTCAGAAACCCTGGACACAGGACCACCATGGCCACTGAGAGAAAAATCTTGGACAGACTTTCTCTTTAAAGAAAACAAGTTTTATTTTTATAATCAGAATATTCTAATAAAAATATTATTATAACATTACTCCCTCTGTCCTCTGGGCTGAGGAGCAGGCATGCTGCTGAGGGCCTTCACACTGGCTCCCTGAGGTAGGTGTGGAAGGACCCACTGCCCAGCCTGCGGGCAGCCCATGCTGCCAGAGATGCCCACTGCACCCCTTCCAGACACGGGCGGGACTTCTCCCTCTGTGCTGCCAGGTCATGCTCCCAGACTGGCACGCAGGTGACTACAGGAGGGTGGATGGGCGGGCACAGAGCCTGCCGAGAGGGTGCAGGGCCAGGAAGAAGGCCTCAATGGCACAGCAACAGACACCTGAGAATTCGCCCTGACGGGCACCTCTGCAGGTAAGGTGGGCAGCATCAGACAGACAGGGGCCCAGGGCCCTGCAGGGCTGTGGTCTGGCGATGGCCACCCCATGGGAAAGGGGGTAGCTCCAGGCATTCCATCAGTGACACTGTCACAGAGGAATACTGTCATTGTCTCCAAAGGGAGCTACTGACCAAAGCCAGTCTCTAAGTAAAAAACAGATTTGGAGTTCTTGGTGATGATGGTCTTGCCTTCATCGTAGAACAATCCCAACAGGACATGGCACAGTGCTTTGACTGAAGGGCAATGGGCGGGGTTCCCAGAGAGGAAGGCAGACGTCTGTACACGTCCCAGAGTAAGGCACCTGGCATGGAGTGGCTGCAGAGATTCCCAAGAGTGTACCCTTACTTCTCATGGCCTTCCTCAAGGCACAGCAGGGCCTGGGCTGGAGAAGATGCTGTCTGGTGCCCTTGGCAAGTGGGCCCAGGGGCCTGAGGAGACCCAAGTGCTGGTGGCTCCTGAGGCTGGAAGGTGGTGGCTGTGGCCTAGGCAGGACGCGCCTCACTGCATCCTGTCAGGCTGTAGCTGAGGCGCCTGGTACTGCAGGAAGGTGGTGCCTGCAGGGGCAGCGGCAGACAAGGCTGGGGGCATGGCAGCTGGGTAGCCATAGCCCACGAAGCTGGTGGCTGTGGCAGGCGAGGCGGCGTACGGGTACTGGTCATAGGCGGCTGGAGGGTACTGGGCATAGGCTGGGCTGCTTGGTGTATACTCAAGGTAGGGCGAGGATAGTGACGGGACAGGGGTGGCAGGTATCACCACGCTGGGCTGCACGATGGCTGGCGGGTAGATGTAGTGGGGAGTCAGCCTGTGGGCCAAGCAAAATATCAGGGGCTGTAGGAGAAATGAACACAATGGCGGCAGAGTGGGGGAGGCCAAGGGACCCATGCCCTGCCCATCTATAACCCATCTCCAAGACAGTTTCAGCAACATGCCACCTGTACTCTGACACCAGGGCCTTTGCTTTACGCGCCAAACACCTGTTCTCAGTGTCTTCCTCCTCAACCTAGGCCCACCCTGCATCTCCCACCAATACCCACTGAACAGTGTTTAAATGTGCAGCCTTTATTTAAACCGGGAATCTCAAGACTGTGAGGAGAGAGACGGTAACAACTCAAGGCCTGAGAAAAACCATGGGAGCAGTGCAGCTCACATGCCAGATACCTACCCCTCCCAGTGACACCCACGCTCCTTAGCCACCCACCAGCTCCTGAACAGCAGGAGCTCCTCCCTCATAGAGTTCTTACTCAACTCTTGCCAGGGAAGGCTGGGCAGCAGGGTTGCAGGTACACCCACTGCAGGATGGAGGGCACAGGGTGCTGGTGCGCTTGGTTTGTGCCCTGCTAAGTAACAAGATGCTCCAGGGGCCTTATCTAATGTCCCATCAGCACAGCCATTTTAAAGTCAGGAGGGCTGAGTACCCTGTGCCAGGTGACCACATAGGTCCTGCAGCTTGTAACTGGAGGGTACCTGGAGACCCGAGCTCCCACCCCACACCCTCAGAAACTTGGGCACCAGCTGCGGCTCCCTCAGGAAGCACAGCATGACTACATGGGAAACTGAGGCTGGGCAGCAGGCAGTTGAGTAGAGAACCTGCTGCTGGATCTGCTTGCACAGCCAGTCCCCTGCTGGGCAGCCTCTCTGGACCTCAGACATGTCTACAGCAGCGCCCACACTGTGCACTAAACACCTGCAGAGGGGCTGCTGGTGGCATCTTGCAGTACACAGCGTGGAGGGGCGCCACCAAGGGTGTCAGCATGCAGCTCACTCGCTCTCATGGTGTGTCTAAGCTGTGCTCTGGGCCAGCTGCAGCCTCAGCTTCCCGTAATATCTTTGAGGCAGGCCTAGCACACAGCCTAACTCCAGAGAGAGGCTCTGCTCCAAAGGAAAAGACTTAGCTGCTCCCCAGTGCTGCTGCTCTGCCCACACCCAGCCCTGGGGTGTGCACATCTCTGGAGAGAGCACACCCAGCAAGACACACTCAGTGAGTCCCAGCAGCTTGTGTGAGATCACAAATAACCAAAGTCACCCAAAGTCACCCAGGAGACCAGGGAATGGCATCCAATCCCACCCCAAGCAGGCTCCTGCCCATAGTAACACCTCTTAAAGATGAAACTGACTGGTGAGCTGCAGACTCCGGGCCTAGCCCACCTAATACGCACAGGTCCAAGAGATGAGGGCTTCCCAAGGATGCCCCAAGGAGGATGGTGCAGAGCGCGCCTAGCTGAGACAGAGGGAAGCAGTGGGGTCTACTTGTGGAATCTGAAGTCTTTGAAAGGCTTGAGGAGCACACGTGCACGATTAAAGAGAATTCTAGTTGCTGGGCAGTAGTGGTGCATGCCTTTAATCCCAATACAGAGCAGGGGCAGAAGGACCTCTGTGAGTCCAAGGCCAGTCTGGGCAGTGAGTTCCACGACAGTCAGGGCTACACAGAGAAACCTTATCCACCCCCCACCCAAAAAAAAGCTCTAGTCACCAAAGCAGCATCCCAATACCTGCTGCAAGTTGCAAACGGACACGTGGCATATGGCCTGTGTGGTTGAGCATTGACCAGCCATGCAGTGGGTGGCAGAGAGGCAAGCATCAAGTATCACTGGTGAATTCAAGTGATATGCATGCGCAAACAGGCCAGAGATGGGTGCCGGTCATCTTCCTGGGTCACTCTCCACCTTATAGATTGAGGAGGGGACTCTTACTTGAACCCAGACCTCATAGATCTATAGCCTCACTCTGGGGACCTTGTCAGTCTTTTGCATGCTGGGGTTATAGGTAGACTGCCATGGGATCCAAACTGTGGCCAGCACATGTGTGCAGCAAGTACTTACTACCTACTACCTCTTCATCGCCACAGCCCCAGCAGCAGCGTCTGATAGCACAGGTACCAAAGGGACACGGGTGAGGCTGGGCAGAGCTAGGAAAGCCACTGGAGTGCACACAGGGAGGCACAGCTGACACAGGCGTGACCCTGCATGCTGTTTGGAGAGCTTCTGCACCCAGCTGCCCTCTCCATTTTCAAAGGGCAGGGGCAGCTGACCAGACGTTGCCAGGACACCAATCACCAGCAGTGGTCAGCATCCTGTATACCACAGGGCAACAGATGTGCAGTTGTGAGGCCAAACAGCCTTTGGCAGGAGCCCCAGGTAGTGTCTGCCCTACCTCCTTGACTGGCATGGCGCTGCTGTGGATTCTAACCCTACCTCTGGGCTGCACGATACTTCCTCAGACTCCTGCCAGCACAGAGTCATGAACAGAACACATGGCTGAGTTCTGCAGGAAGAGGTGGAGGACAGAAACCCAGAGCTCAGGAGAGGCTGCAGGCAAGTGGAGCCCGGGCAGGCCGCAGGGAGGACGCCCAGGCAGGAGTACACACGACAGGACTGGGAGGCAGGGCTTCTCCTCGCCACTCAGCTGGCCCACAGATCCCTAAACCCTGCTCAGACCAAAGCCTGCAACAGCAGTGGATCCCACAGCACCCAACATTCCTCAACTGCCTCAGCCTGGGGTCCAGGGCCATTTCCTGCACTGTCCCCCAGCCTGGCCTGACCCTCCTGAAACCAGAGCTCTGGTAGAGGGTGCTGCTGGATGCCCGCTCCCCACCGGGCAAGACCGAGGCCTTGCTAGAGCAGCAAAGCCTACGTGGTGTCCCTACCTGAGTGTCAGGCGGGAAGCCCCATCTGGCCCCTGGGACTCAAGCACTGAGGCTCCAAGAGAGTTATGCTCTTAACTTCCCGAAACACGGGTGGGACACCCTTACCCAATCCCTCTAGGGGTGGCATTTGCTAACACTGAAGTTCCCTGCTCTGCCCACCTGGAGGACCTGCCCAATCCTGTACACCCTAAATGCTCCAGGTCTCTGCACGCTCACCTGTGCTTTCCTTGAGGTCTCTGCCAGGCACTACTGTGGTGCCTGACACAGGACAGGTGAAAACGACTCAGACTATCCAGTCACCTGCTTATGCCACACGCCCCTGGAACCACAGTTCTAACAATACCAGTGCTCGGGAGGCAGAAGCAGAAGTGGATCTCTGAGTTCAAGGCCAGCCTAGTCTACAAAACGAGTTCCAGGACAGCTAAGGCTACTCTGAGAAGACTCCACACTACGGCCAACACCACAGACATCCAGGTTAAAAGCAGCAGCAGCTGGGATGGGGCCTGCACACCAGAGAACACTCTGGCACACAGATCACTCTACTTTAAAATCCCACCTGAGTTCTAGCCCTGCGCCCAGCCCATGGGTGACCCTGGTCCCAGAGAGCACACTGCTGCAAGCAATGTGGAAGTGCCATGTTGTCCAGAGACATTCCCAGTGCTGCTTAGACTCAAATGCCAGCCACCATTCAACCACTCTCATGTCCAGCCTAGCAAGGGTACTGGCCTCCTAACCTCCTACCGCAGCAGTACGGGGCCCTGAAGGAACTCAATGCCTCCACGTCCCAGCATGCCCACCCACCCAAAGCTTTCCAAAGCCACTGTCACTCTCCCACACTTCCTACCTCTGGGCCAGCAGACTCCACTTGGCCTAGCCCACTAAGTCCCTCATATACCACTTAAAGACTTCAAGACTACATCACTCCAGAAACCAGAACCAGGGACTAGCACCATCCCACTGGACCAAGAAGCAAATCCAAACTGCTCCTGAGGCTTCCGACATGAGAGCCCACACCCACCTCTCCACCCTGGATGATCCTGCTGCCCCCAAACTGCAGCCACCCCGAGATGCTGACACCTGGGGTACACGCCCAAAGGTTTCTTCCCCCCAGCATCATCTTGCAGGCCCCTCCTGCCCCTTTTATTTTCCACACCAAAGCACCCTATCCTTTTATTTGTATGAACCTTCATGGCCATGCAGGCTGAGTTTCCTTGCTCCATTGTCCCTAAAGGCCCAGAATAGCATCTGTGGACATCTGAGCACCCGGGGGCAAGCCAGAAGGCCCAGTCATGAGACAGCAGATAGAGCAGCAGCCTCAGACACCAGCAGGGTAGGAAGGGACAGGAGACACAGATCTGTCTGTCAAGTTCACAGCAGACAGTCTGACCTGCCATCCTTGGCCGACTGCCTGCTTTAGTCCTATGGCATCCTTATCAGTCCTCGGAATGACACGCTTACAGGCAACTAGATCTTCACCCCTGTGAATCCCAGACCCCTGGCAGCATCATGGCCCAAGGGGAGGTCAAGTGCACAGACACCTTTCATGCCCCTTACAAGCTGAAATCTAAAGGTGGGATAACCCACTCTCTCCAGGGTGCTCTGCCACCAGCTTTTTTGGGTTCACTCCCATCCAGGCCTTGGCTGAGAGCAGATGCCACTGTCTCCTCACACCTAGGGTTCCATTTCCACATTCTTTTCAGGGAATCTTCTGCCCTTTCTCAAGCCAGGGTGATCTAGGACAATTAAACCCACCCTAAGCAGCAGCAGCAGCAGCAGAAGAATTCCTAGGCCAGAAGCCACCAAAGGAGTCTAAATTCTGGAGCTTTGGGGACCCTCTTGCCAGGGAGACCTATGTGATGCTAGGGGAAGGATGGCTCAAGCTCTCAGCTTCCTAGTGGTGTCTGGTTTGGGGTAACACTGAGCTATCAAGCTACAGAGGCTGAAGGGAAGAGCCCAGAGTGGGCTGCTATGGGTGCTGGCCAGGGCTGACAGCTGGGTCTGTAGGGTGGGGCCAGGAGAACCTGACCCACTGGGAGGGAAGAGATGGCCTCTCCTCCCATCAAGTCGAGTCAGGCCAAAAAGTAAACAGCCAGATGCACTTGGCTGACTTGGCCTAGGGTCCAGATCTCACTGCCTGTTTCCCCACTGTAAACTAAGGG